TGTTGAGTGCAGAGGCCGTAGATGCACTTATCTACAGCCTCCAAACCAAAAAGGAACGGTGGAGACTGAACAAAACTAATAATCATTCTCACATTGTACTGAGTAAAGTCGAGTACGTGGCGCAATCCAAAGCAAACTGTGAACAGTTCATCTTCAGGGACCAATGAGCCCCCACAAGCACTAAAACGTGCACCCCACGTACATGCAATCACTTTTCAGATGGAGCTCAAGTGCATGGTACAATCCAAAATAAAGCATTTTTGACATTTTAAGATATCATCTGGTAGAGCTCGATGAGCTGAATTTAATGGTATTTTTTATCCTTGATTACTTTATTTTGAAGCGATTCATAAAGAAAAGACGAAAAAGACGCGAATTCGAGGTATTCTCGTGAATTTTTGAGTTCTTACAGCGAGTACTGTACGTTAAGTTCAGCAAAAATGCTAGTTGCTCAGTAAACCTTTCTAAGATGAAATGAGAAATTCCTCAGTTCCTCAGGAATCACAGGTCGTTGTCACCTTGGTCTCTATTGTTGTTGTTACCTCTAATGTCTGTGTTATTATTTCCTCAGTACTTTTTGTTGATTTGTTCCATTAGTTATTCATAAATGTTGTCTTAGGTGTTAACATTTGGATGCGCTTGTTTATTTTGATGTTTCCTTCACAAGTTCCTTAAGGGATATGATAGATTAAAATTAAATCCAAAAATGAAACGGAAAGATGAATATCTTGCCGCCAGACTGCCCGTTCCTCGATCTGTGTGGTTTTCAACTGTCGCGCCTAGCCACGGGTCAGCACACTTGGAGGTGATTCGCTGGGAAAGACTTGGTTACACAGTTTAAAAAGGTCTTCTTCTGAACATCTAAAGTGGTTCACCTATTTGATTTGCAAGACCTTTTGGGCATCTATTGTCCATACATATACTAGCGAGGTCTGAACGTCGTTAGATCACGATTAATCTCAAATGTTTCTGGGCTTCCACGCTCTGACGAAGGCTACTACTGGCCGAAACGTTGAAGTAATAAAAATTGCAATATAAAGGCCGAGGCTTGAGAGAAGAACACCTAGCACAGTAAAATACGTCTAATGACTGGTCGTGATACCAAATTGTCCATTCCTGTTGTCCTCGCTCGATCCGAACTTATGGTTTCCTCGGTTAGCGTCGTTTGTGTTCAGCAAGAACCACGGCCACTTAAGTGACTGCGACGAGGAGCATTGCCAGGCTCATGAGATGCAAATTATGTATATTTTTCGTTGATTTGTTTCAATAGCAGGCTGTTCCTTTCATTCCCTATAGACGTGTTGCATTTGAAAAATGTTCATTTACTGCTGCACAATCGGAACGAATTTATTTGGGTACATACTTCATATCAGTAAACTTTAAATGTTGAAGATGAAGGACTTCAAAAAGCTCGTATATGATTCAATCAATATTCGATCTGCACGAGATCAGAATCCGTTTTAACTATCTACCTATAAGATGAAAAAGTATAGCGAAATGGACGAGAGGCAAAGCCTGTACATCCGGAACGAAGACCCGCGTTTTGATATCGGCATGAAGATGAGTGAAGAGAAGACAATTGAATACTAGACAGTATCCTAAACCCATCCAACTGGAAAACAAACACATGAAATGTCTGTGGATCCCGTGACGTACAAATGTTGTCACTGAGCTGAGCCATAACAATTCAAATCTTCATCGATTGGAAAGGCACTTGGATTGCAGGCAGCGACTGACGAGTCGCCAGCATCTTCTTCCTCTGCAAAAACTCAAGCTAATTACACTTGTCTCGAACTGGGAGCATACTGTAGCGTACGGTGGTACATGGATTCGGATCACTACCTTAATACTTGTCGCAAACCCGAAATGTGTGAGAGGGGAACACGATAGCAACCAGTGTTTGAAGCAGAGTGCGATTTTGCGGCAAAAGCGTCAAAGTATGGTATCAAAACGCGAGAAGCGAGGCCTCCCATGTTCCTACTTTGACTTAGAAGGGTTGGCGTATCGTATCGGACTAATACTGCGAGTTGAATTGTTATACTGCGAGTGAGAATTGGAGGAATAAGGAAGGGTAAGAGGAGGGAAGGGGTAAGGGCAGTGGATAGACTCTATCGCCGTGATTAACCTGCGATTTCGATTTCCTCAAAAGGCAACTCCATCCTTGCGGCGAACTTAACGCTATGAATTTTAATAATTTTTTCTTGCACCCGAATTTTTTTCATTAAGTTATTCCCAGTATCGTACCTGTTCATGGTGCCCAACCTTAATCTTCTCGATAACGAACGCCACTATCAGGGCCCACGCTTTTCGCACCGTCTCCGATCGACAACGTCTATCTCCCCATTCCAACGTGCAGTCGATGAACGTCTCCGCTACTACATTCCATAGCTTGCCTTAAAAGACAATGTTTTGGGCCAAACTTGATTCAGGCTATGATTTTTTTTTGTCTTAGCATTCGGATGTCAGAAAAGTGCCCTTTGCAATAAACAGTACATAAATTTTCTAACAAAGACGCGACTGTTTTGATATAGATCAAAGGTGGATAACTTTCCTTATAACTCACAAGGTTGGCTAGTTAAGGACAACAACAAAACCTCGGACGGACTCGAACAAGTACTTCTGCTGCTCGAATAGCACAAGTACGGGTGCGAGTCCCGTAAAAGGTCGAAGTTTTGTCCATAACTCGCCAACCTTGAGACTTTCGCATCGCGTACTGCGGCTTTATTCAATCTCCTTTATTCTGAAAAAAAAGAACCAGCATTGTGAGGGGTAGGAGCAGAAGTGTGCGATACAACGTGATCACAAGTTGAAGAGGCTGGTATAAGGAAGTCATACGTTAACAACTGTTGGACTCTTTTTCATATCACCAGGATGGCTTTGGCAATCTGTTCTTGGACGCTAGAGAGTTATAACAGGAGCTAGGTGGAGAGCCGAGGTTTTTTGGTGATGAGGCAGCGCCGACGCCAGCAAATACTAAAATTATCAGAGTTATGAGATTGGTATAAATAAGAGAGCTCAATAGGATCGATTATGGTTAAACATTTATCACCAGCGGCACCTTACACTAAATAATACAGATCATGAGAAGATTTCACCAACTCTCTCACATACCTGTAAGCTCCCCACGTAGTAGTTTCGCGTGTACTTGCCCAACACGGATCAATTCACCAGCCATGTTATCCAGATTGTCAAGATTATCGACTACCTGCAGAACATAATATTTCAACGCTGTAAAACATTTAATTCGAAAAAGTTACTGTGAAAACAAAGAAGCAAGAATTAGTGAAGGATTTTATTTTACTTATCAAGGAATACTATATAATTTGTTATGGATTGCCAGGAAATTTGTTTGATACCATTAAATGATAATTTTCGCATTGCAGTCAGTTTCAAAATATTAGTTCTCTGGAATCAGTGACGTTCCAATTTACCCCGTCGCGAGCCAGGGTAGTCCATGGATGGTCCTCGTTCGAGGTACACGAGATATGGCATTCCTTTCGTTCAGAGCTTCATTGAAGGAGTCCGATCATACCGCTGGCGTCCGTGCTTGTCTTCGTTTGAACCACAGAAGAATCCACTCCATTACAGCCGCGGTTCAACACCGTTATTTAAGTCATCACGATATCGTGTAACGTGTCGTGTCCCACATGATTTTCGACTTTTAGCGTAAGCACTGACATCCTTGACCTTCGTTCGTTTACTGGGGTGCGGTGCGATTCGTGCGATTCTGGGTGCGCGCGGCAAATTGCGCGGCGAAATTCGGTGCGATTCGAACGACTCTGACGCCTATTATTGGGGCCCAAATTTGAAGTAGAATAGTTGGGTATGGTCAGCTGATTCTACTGATCTACTCTGCTTCAAGTTTGTGCACCAATAGTAGGCGCAGGAATTGTATGAATCATCGCGAATTTCGCCGCGCGCATCCTCGGACGCACGTAAGTACCCATACCCTTGACTGAGCTCGGCACTCCGGAATCCCTTCTGCACTTGCGTACTCCGAGCGTAGTCCTTTCCACAGCGCATTGAATGACGCAGACAGCATGTTCATCATGTTCATTCTGCTTTCGTAGAGTTCAAGTCTCCAGGCAACTAAGGCAGGAAGGATCGCAGTGTTGAAAAGGTGTATTCGGAGCTGGATGTTCTTTCTGTTTTGTCCGCTAATACAGATTTCACCACGATAGCTCAAAGTGTTCTAGTGAAGACGAAGAAGGCTCATGTAAAGTTCACTTCGGAGCAATACCGCAGTCGCACAACAACTTCTTTGTAAACTTGATGGTGAGGCATTGAACTCATAATTTTTTCCCAGTAGACCTATTTTTTCTGCTCTTTCAATTATTTCACTGAGGTACAGGGTTTGGTTAAATGCAAGGAGGGTGACGAATGATGATTCTGGCGATTCTAACGGACAGCGTCGCCAAACCTTCATGGGTAAAAGGTCGTTTGAGGGCGGTCTTAGAAGTCTTAGTTGATAACAGTTCGGTGAGCTGTCCACACGAAGTATCTGTAGTCCATGATCGGCAACCTGAGAACGGCTCACTCAAAACTCCTTTTCATTTTTTTTTTTGATTACCGTCTGATGGCTTACTCCTTTTTGATTGGAACGGCAGAAAAGAATAGCTCGTCACTCACAGTTCATCGATGTTGATCATATTCATATCGACCGCTTCTATTCTAGGGAACTCGCCGATGGAACAAAAGTCTAGGAGGGTCGTGGTTTTGTTTTTCTAGTTCTGAATGAAACAGAGCAAGCTTGCAGTGGATGTTTCTGGAAGATACCAGTGACACTGGGGTCCCGTCATGCTGTTGAAGGCTCACATTACATAGAATTGAGCTTAAGGTCACCGACATATTCACACGCCCTTGAGCGTTCAGATTTCTGATAACAATTCAATCAGCTGGCTGGGTGACCATTAAAAATCCTTAAAATTACCTGATCAATAAGTTCTCCTATCGCCTTAGAGTGTGCTTTGATAAAACTATCATAGTTTTGAAATTTCGGCGGCAGTGGCACCCTTCGTATTTGTTCCTTCACCTGTAAATAGGAAAAATAGCAGGGTGCAGTAAACAAATCGAGACGTTCTTTGCCCAGAATTTGACTTCCGAACACATACGGAAATATTTTTAGAACATGGTCGCTAATTGAGGCAACAACTAGACAGTCGCACTTGATCTGAACGGCCCTGGATTGTTTTGGTGCAAGGAACCGTTGGACAATATTAGATCGTATATGTCCAGTTTGTACTAAGCGACCTTTCAGACAGTTAGTCAGCTCTCTGCAGATGGCGAATGAATATCTGGCCCTCGAGGCTCTTCCTTTCTTTCGGGTTACTGGATATACAGCATAGTGTTCTCAGATGTTGCGCATCAAATACTACCATAATTACCCGGTTCCCTGCGCTTTACTCTGTGCCCCCATGAATCGTTCGAAAGCCTTCGGAGAATCCCCTCTGCGGGCAGCCCCTCTACCCTCAACGATGCCGCTTACCATTTTGCTATGCCCCTAGCTCACCTGTGGACATTTGAAGCAAAGTCGATGGTAGATGCTGGTGCCAATAACTGTCGGTCCTTTACTTGTGTAGATTTGTCGCCATAGGGAGCGAACGAGATGGATCTGAGCGCAAGTGAGCGGAATCAAAGTCGTAGGCGTTTGTCGGCCTGACATCTCCTGCATCAACTGAAACTCAAGTGCTCACTCAAGATTATAGCACAAAAACGGAATCCTCAAAAGCTCGTTTTTTGAGCTCGTCTAATAAGTCTCCGTATGTCAACGTTAACTTATTTCTTTGCCTTACGTAGACCACGAAACCATTCAAGACTGTTTATCTATCCAATTTATCATCATAAATGACTTGAACAGCGCATTCATTTTATGAACAGCCATAGATTCAATGAGGAAATGATCTCTAGAGAAAAGAAGTTGACTGCATTTTTTGCTAATGTACTAGACTACAGAAGATTTATTTATTTATTCAGTTGTTTATTTGCTTACTCTGCTTACTGTTTACTTCATTTGTGCAACTGAGCTTTCAACAAAGAATCGAATGGAAAGATGCAATATAGAGTACAAACCAGTTGATTTGCCTGTAGAGGGCTCGAACTTTTTAGCATATTTGGAAGGTTGAAAAGCGGCAGTTCAATATAATCAGGTAACTGAAGAGAGAGAAGAGGTGGCAATGGGCTTCCCAGTGGGCGTTGGGAAATATAGTACGGGTGTAATTATAGATATTATTGAAAACAAAAAGTGCGTATATAAGTCGTGTGTTGTGTTGGGTCGGGATCTTCGTTTAATCAAGTTGTTTTGACATTTCTACCTGCTCAGATTGCGGAACTCACGAGGTGTCTCGAAACATAAAACCCTGGTAATCGTTGGGAAGAATGTCAGCAGAAATTTCTTGGCAATGACCCTCTAGTAGTACCATCAAGTAGGGATCGGGGGATAATAAAAGGCTTGGCTGGCTTGGTGTTATACTGGTTCTGGAGCCCGATATTTAGATCCCATGTGCAAAAGATCTGGTTCTATGTCATAATGTCTTGGTTATCGCTGGGAAGAATATGTAAGATAGGAACGAATTTGATAGGGAAGGCATGAAAGGAGGTTGGCTTGGCTGAGTTTCTCTGAAACGTGCGTTTAGCAAGGGGATGTTTCATTGACAAGAAGATGTATATTTATACATATGCTAGAAAACTCATTGCTCACAAAAGGCGCAAGTGCAAACGGATGTGCAATGAAAACCAGCAGGCAGCAGGAACGAATTTCCTGCACTTTGACACATCTCGCTACTCGAAGATTCTAGGAATTGGAGGGGACAGGGCTTATTTGGCCTTCAACACCAATACAGGGGCGAGGCGTCTTCATTAGCTCTGAGGCTATGTAATTAATACGGTTTCCTGAGTTTAAAAGGATCTAAAAGTGTGGCAGCAAAGAAATATAATAACAAAAAGAAGAATAGCCATCGAGTCAGCTATTTCTTCTCTTAGTTTTCAATATGGCATAGTATAGATATATTATGAAATAGAAAATTCGTCAAAATTCGGAATATAGAGCTCCAGGCAGGCAGGGGGAATGTGAAGCACGATTCCACGGTCCTTGTACCCTGAGAGCCAAATCCCTAACGAGCACCTGCTCAGACCTCCAGGCACTCCATCTAACAAGCTCGGTTGATTATTGAAGTTGGTCAGCTCCAGACTTCTTTCTAGGAGTATAACATTGCTGAAGGCATATCAGCCGATCCCTAAAAGCCCATTCGAATATTACGCCAAATTTCGATAGAAGCTGAATGCGTGGCTCCCATAAACATTGTCCCATAACGGCTCCCATAAACATTGTCGGATCTCACTTGAGATCCATAAGTCGCAATTGGCATATTTCACCCACTGCACGCTACTTGTACATATTTGAGCATGAGCCAAAATTTGATTGTCTAATTGAATAGTATGGTGATTTGAGAGTGGGGTTGTCGTGTAGACCAACTTATTCTTATGTGCCCTTTTATGCTATTGTAGGGGAAAGCCGGTGAGGAAGCGACTGGAGGGATCCGGCCTACGAAATCAAATTGGATCTTATTTTACAGTTGATTCTTAAGACTGCACGAATATCGAGAAGAGCTGACCAATGGAAATGGCTGTAGAGGTGGAAAAGCAGAGGCGATATATGGCTGAATGGCAGCTCCTTCACGCAGCGCACAGATCCTTCTTGGGGCGGGATTTCAAGTGCGGAAGGGGGAGGTTGGGGAAGCAGAGGAGCCACGGGTTAGGGGTGGCTCCCGTTTCGTCTACTCCGATTCTTTGTTGTTCTGAAAAACCTCTTATTCAGGTAGAACTATTCCAAGTTATGGTAAACCCTGTAGATGTTTTCCTTGAAAAAAGAAGTCAGTGCCATTCGGTCTTCAAGAATGAGCCAGGTTTCGAAGAATGCGGTTCAATCGCATCCACGAGCAGATCATTAAAACGGTATCTGGATTCTTTGCTTTGGTCACATCTCCCAAACCTTGGATTAAACTTTGTCCCTTCCATATCGATTCTTGAATGGAAACGTCTAAACGAATGACGGCATAGTTCAATCTCAAGGGTACCATTGGAATAGGCGACGCTTTGGCCCATATCCAGAAATGATTTCGAAACTTATCACCTTGAAGATAACCAGTTTCTTCATCATATCGTGGTTTCTTAGTCGGTAGGTAGCCTTCGCTGTATAATGGGGGCAATGGTGCTGCCTCGGTCACCCTTTAGATACGTCAAATATGTCGCGTTAGCTAAAACAGGTAGTCAGTCAGTCTAACAGGGTGTCAAGAGTCATCGCAATTTTGAATGCACGTCGAGTATGTGGCACGCTTCAAAAAGATTTCAACCGCACTGAATTTCTTTTGGGTGAGAGCCTTGAGCCGTGGGTATCCTTAGCTCCCGTAATAGTCCTAAATTTTTTGCTCACTGGAGCTCTGTAACATAAAGTAGCTGGAAGTTTCCGGTACATGCTGAATGTACAACAAAATGAAGAAATAATTGCCAGGCATATGACAACACGGCTACAATTCCCATTCTTGAATCTGCAGAATCAGAAGTATGTTCCGCTGAGCCTTCTGGTTGATGTCAGCAGCTATCGCAGCTGACATGACACACCGCTTCATGAAAAAACACTTTTACTTCTGGGGGTAGTTTCGGGAATCAGACCCACCCAGGCAATCTTCATCAACTCTACCCTCATATTTAAATCGTCAACATAGTGACGTTGTCCTAAACTGACACCCTTACCTGGATCTGACTCTGCCGTCGTTGTGCTAGCAAATTCTGACGAGCACGTTCGTTGGATGAGTTTCGCCGTGGGGACAAGCTGCCCTCATCCGTTTCATCCAAGGACGACGACTGGAAAATTGCGAATTAATCGTTATGAGAACTATTTCTGAAGGAATAACTGAAAGAAGCAGTGAAAAGAAAACGAAAAATATGAAAAGCACTTGTTAAAGCTGAATTTGCATTTAACGTTCCTATCTTCCATCCCTAAAAAGCAACTAAATTAGGGTGTTTAGAAAACCTGTTTCACCAGAAACTTATCCCTTGGACTGAGTGATTGTTTACGACTCTCCTTAACCTTAAAATACTAGCCGTTGTGATAGAACAGAAAGAAAATGCCTTTCAGCAAATCACGATCAAAATAGTTCTACCCCGTTTACAGTTCAATCGACTACAGTAAGCGTATGTATGTATTCCCTCAAAGTAGGCTCTACCTTGTGATATCGCTTCTTTGTCAACAGAGCAGAGTCGGAGCCACTAGATGCCTTTCTGGATTTTATTCCACCGATTCCCTTAAAAATCCGTCAGATAATATCCTCTTCTAAGGCCTTCGTTACTTGATCTTTTCACAGATATGGAAGTCCATAATTTATCCGTTGTAATTGCTTATCACTTTGGAGAACACTCGAACTCCTTATTAATTTCTTTTTCAAATATGGGTTAAGTATTAAGAGTTTCGGCGCTACGCTCACAATAAAACAAAGCCAACAGTGTCAGCGTTCAGAAACAGCTCGAGCTCATGAGAAGCAGCAAGACTCACTTTACTTGTGAAATAAATTACTAGTTATTTTACAAGTGACCCAAAGAATCATTTTGAAGTTGTAGATGATTTCGATAAAACTCAGAATTGAAGTCAGCTGATTTTAGTAAATTTTTCAGAAGGCGATTCATATTATAGTCGGCGTTTGAATTGGCCTAAAATATTGACAAGGATGGCAAAAAACAAGTGATTTTCTGTTGAGAGATGAACAAGGGAACGGTCGTACTCGAAAATGCCTCGATTCTCTTGGATTGTCAACTATTTCGGCGCTGTTTCAAATTCATTAACGCTCTCTCTCTCGTCGATAGTATAAACTCCAGTAGTGGTGAACGGGGTCAAACGATGGACCTTGAGCTCAATGAGCCACTATCAAATGACACTGGAAGCTACTTGCACGTCAGACCCCATGAGGAACAGGATCTTGCTCATTGCTCCCTCGCTGTCCGTCAACGTGGAAAAGTTGGGTCAACTCAACAAATGGTGGACCGCTTCCACAACTGGAACTAACGCACTAAGACCTAGCGATAGTAGAGCTGTGTTATGTTTTTCCAAAGCACCCTTATCTCTCATTCCTAATATAAAATTAAGAAAGAATAAAAAGGTGCAAACATTGAGAAGAATAATATAAATACCCGAGTGCTCATACCAAAACATTCCTACAAAAGCTCAAAACCATCATATCACCGTGAACAAATAGCCAAGACAAGTGAAAATAAGTTTTAGGAGGTGGAGAGTGGTGATTTCAAACCTGCAGAGCAGCCAAATTCGGATGTACAAGAGGCTTCGTTGCCACGGTATCCATTGTTACCCGTGCAGGGCTCCACTCAATTTCGGCTGGCGGTTCGGTCGCAAGGAATTGGGATGAACCTTGGGGAGAATCGGTTGGACTTGACTCGACTTGGATCTGAAACATGCTACAGTTCGACTTACAATGCTTTTGTGAGTTGCAATCATACGCGATATCGAACAACTTCCGTTTTTTATTTTACCAACATCAAGGGGAACTCGGCAACCACAAGTGCGTCAGAAGTCTAGTTCAATCAAGGTGAAAGCATGTAGGATCTCAAAGTATTTGACTGAAGGATCACTGAGTGCTTGGACATGGGCAGTGGGAA